CCGAATCCCAGGGACTTTCCTGACCCCAGGAAACAAATTTCTCTCCCTGCTGGACAGCGTGAGGGCCTAGCCAGTGGGCTGTCACAACCCCCAGAATCAATCTATTTTCTGGCTAATCACAGCCCCAGCCTGTGCCGGTGAATCCAGCCAAAGTCACATCTGTGGCCACGTCTCTGCATGGTCACGCAGGCCAAAAGCCGCTTCTCTCTCCTTCAATGATCTCATTGAATCCTGCAGCTTTAAATGTCATTATAAACTGGCAATTTCCAGGCTTACGCCCGCGGAGAGCTTGCCCTGGACTCCCACGCACGCTGCTCCCTGATATGAGCACAGCCCTCGATGGGCAGACCCCACGGGGGCCCAGCTGGCCTTCCCTAGTGCCTCAGAAATGGCACCACCATCTGCCCCTGCTCAGGCCCCTCTCACCACTCCCTCTCACCCATCAACGCTCCAGTTCTGTCTCCACAACATTCCCCGGGCTTCTAACCTCCCTCCAGCCCACCAGTCATCTGACATTTTGGGGGAGGAGGTAGATGGAACCAGCTTTCTGTCTCCCTCCATCCACTCTTGTTCCTTGCAGTCGATTCCCTACACAAAAATCAGAAAGGCCTTAAAAATTTATTTAAACTTCATTGGGATATAATCTATCTGCCATAAAATCCACTCATATAGAGCATGCAATTCATATTTTGTAGTTTATTCACAGACCTCTACAACCCAATGATAGGTCATTCCAAGACAAGCCTGGTTCCCCATCCTCTCTCCACCCCTCTCTCACTCCAGTTCCAGGAACTCACAATCTGTTTCCTGCCTCTAGATTCAACCATTCTGGACTTTTCATAGAAATGGAATTATACAGTATGTCCTCTACAGAGCTGGCTTTTTTTCATTTAGTATGATGTTTATGAAGGTTATTCATGCTGTCCAACTTCATTCCTTTTTATGCTGAATAATATCCATCGTACGGATATACCACATTTTCTTCATTCATTCATCAATGGAAATTTGGTTATTTCTGCATTTTGGCTATGAAAAGGGGCCTTTTAAAGAGTCTTGATACCCTGGCCCAACCTCTGTCGCCAGTCTTTTCTGCTGTTACTCTCCCCTCAGCTCATTCTGCTGTCTTCGTTTTTCTTGAGCACACCAAGCTGGTGTCGACCTCAGGGCCTTTGCACTTGCTGTTTCCACTTCCCCTTCTTTCTGGGATGCACTTTCTTCCACCCCTCATGTATCTGGCCCCGCCTTTCCCCTGGGTTGTGGAGTAAGTGGTACCTCCTGGCTGGGAGTGCCTGCCACCTTGCCTGCTCACTCTGTCCGACCTTGTCTTACCTCTTCATGCTCATCATTATCCAAAATTATCTTCTCTGTGTGTTTATCACCTCTCTATCTTCCTACTCAAATATTTAACTCCCACAGAGGAAGTGCCTTGTCTTCTTTACTGCTATGTTTCTGGGGCCTACATTAGCTCCTGGCAATTGGTAGGCACTTAGGTTGTGGGGGAGGCCCACATGGTCCTGCAGTGGTACCTGAAGCCTCAGTTTACCCCAGTAACACTATGCCCAAACAGCAGTCCTATTATTGGCTGCCAAGGTATCAGGGGTTGGGTTTGAGGTAGGTCATCCCTCCGCCTCTCTAGGTCCCCGACAACACACACACACACACACACACACACACACACACACAAAGTCAATGGCTCTCAGTCCCTCGGCCTATTATCCCTGTAGAGCTGGAGTTTTAAAAACCCTAATTTGATCTTACTCCCAGGAGAGCAGAGGCCTTTCCCTGGCGAGTTCACTGGGCAATCAAAGCAGGGACGAGGTGACACTGGAGGGAGGGAGCCCTGACATGTCTGCAGCAAGGCCAGGTCCTCCCTCCTCTTCTAGCAGGAGGACAGAGACTTGGGGTGCTTGGTGGCTGTGCAGGGAGGTAAGTGTGCACCCCCAGCAGAGGAGGGGCAGCAGGAAGGGAGGGACCCTTCCATGGGAAGGGCGCCTCATGACTGAGTGAGTGTCCCCATCTTCTGATGACTCTGCTTTGTCTCCAGGATGACGTCCCAGTTTTTCACAAGTTAGTCAGACACCCTCCTACCCCCTACTCCCCCACCCCCCAAACTCTGCTCAAATCCGTTGGACCGCGTCCTCGCACAGCACTGAGCCTTGGACGTCTGCCCCCGACTGGTGACCCCCTGAATTCAGGCCAGGCTGGACTTCCCTCTGTGAAGCCACTTCAGACCCCGGTGATGGTCCTGGGTACCCTCCTCTGGGTGCAGCCCTCTCTGGGAGTGCTTCCTCCAGGATGGGGGTGGGGCGGAGGTCAGAGCACCCTTTGTCTAAAAGGAGTTTTCTTTCCTGATGGACCCCTACCCAAAGCCCAGGACAGACCCCCCCCCCAATAAATACTTGTGAACAGATGATTTCCCTGCTAACCCACAAGCTATGACTCAACCAAACACTCCAGTATCTCAGCGCAGTTTCCATGGGCCCCTATTACCAGGTACCAAATGCCTGGCCCACTCCGGGCCAGGGACAAGCTGCCAAAGAGCTGCAGGGCCGCCTTGACACAACCGCCCCATCCCCAACCTGGTTCCTGCTTAGGAGGCAAATCTTCCTGGGTGCCTCCAGGACACCCCGCCCAGAGCTGCCATCTCCCCAGAGTTGGGTGCCAACCTGGGTCCTTTTCCCAGAGGCTTGCAGACCTGGGTCAGGCCCTAGAAACCCACCGGCTCCCCCAGTGTCCTCCTGACCTTCGAGGAACCTGCCCCGCCCAAGGTCCCCTACAGTGAGGCTCTCCAGCCCTGGGCCACAGAGACCAGTGGCATGTCTGTGTCTTTAAAAAAAAACGAACAACACTTTAATAAATAAAAGTAACTGGCATAGAAAAGCTCCCTCGTTTAATATCCAGGGGCCTTGGCTCATCAGTCTTCCCCATAACCTGCTTTGTGCTCTGTTAGCTTTGCCTCCTGATAGAAAGGAATTTGATTTTCTAAGAACATCTGTCATATGCAGGGTGTCCCCAAACATTAGCAGTAATGAGTTGGAAGTGGCAGAGCTGGCGCCAACACCAGATGTCAGGCCCTGGGTGGGTGGCTCTGAGGAGGTGGGGCCAGAGGGCCCGCCAGAGGCTGGCTCCAGGGCCCACAACTCGTGATCCCTGGGAGTCATTCATCCGGAAGACATTGTGGTGTGCCCCCCATGTGCCGTGTCTGGCGTGGGCACTGGGAAGACCCTGCCCACCGGGATTGTCATGGCAAGTTACCAGAGAAAGACAGAAGGGGCATAGAGGACAACCCCACCGCCTACCTGGACAGGGGGCAGGGGGAGGAGGGTCCCCTGGGAAGTAAGGGATTTGGATTCGCACAGACATGCTGCCAGAGCTCAGCCTCCTTCATTTACAAACGAGGCAAACAAGCCTCTCCTCACTAGAGGCCTGAGAACAAAAGGAGAGTGTAAAGCACCCCAACACCAAATCCAGCACATGGTGGGTGCTCCCTGAAGTCCTCGTGTTATAGGACAGCCCCGATATTGAACGGGTTCCTGGCTGTGGGTCTCACCCGCGCGCTTACAAGGGACTTATGAATACTCCACTACAGGCACACACAAAAGGTTCATAAAAGGTTTATTTACAAGAGAAAAGGAAATAAGGAAAATGTACAACTCAGGGAGAAAATAGGGAAATAAAGTCTTTAATGCGTCCTACCCGATCCGCCGACCTGGAAACCCAAAGGCGCTCTCAGAGCTGGCCCGACTGCGAGCTGGCGAAGAGCCAAAATGGGGGACCCCTCCAAAGCCCACGTGTCTGGCTTTATACCCACCTGACTGCTGAACCCCACCCTCAGGTCCCAGCCACCTTCCCTTGGGTGGTGATGGGATTTGGAGTTCCCAGTGTCTTTGGCTTTGGCCTGGGGTGGGGGTGGAGTCCACAAAGCCTGTATGGAATTAGCTTTAGGACATCCTTTGCCCCTAACACTCACACATCCTGCACCAATGGCACACAGGCCCGGGGCGGCACCGCTGCTCCCCTGGGCTCACAGAGGTTCCAGCAGCGGCTGCCTTCTCCTGGGGAAGGGCAGACAGAGCTGCCCAAGGCTCCCCGGCTTTGGTGGAAAGGGAACCGCGGGAGGACCCCAGGCCCTGGGCACTTGGCAGACAGGAAAGCATCCTCCTGCCGCCGCTGCTGCTGTTCCCAAGGCCCTCCTCCAAGCACCCCCAGTGTTGCTCCCCAGAAAAGCCCAGCTCCGCCCTTGTCAGGTCCAGCTGAGGACTTGCCACCACCACTTGCCACCACCACCACTTGCCATCCCCAGGGAGGCCGCACTCCCTGTAGGTGAGGGAGCTTTGGCCCGCGCAGGCTGCAGGCTCGGGATGCCCAGGTGGGGGTGGCCCTGAAGGGCCGGAGCAGCCCCACCCGAGTCCGCCGCCAGCTGGGCCGCGCGCGCCCGGAGCGCAGGGGCTGGACTGTCTTGGTCGCGTTTCTTCTGGAACGCTGGAGAGTCGTAGACAGCAGGCGGGGGAAGGGTGGGGCGCCCTCCTTTGGCCTCCCTCACATCTGCCAAGAGACACAGACGCCAGACCCGGGGCGCACCGGCCACCCCCGAGCCCGCGCCCCAGGGCTCACGTGCGCCCTCCCCCCACCCGAGGCCCAGCCTCGTCTTTCTCGGGTCCCAGCAAGGGTCCCCGCTCCCCGGCCAGGCGGGACGGAGGCCTGGCTCAGCCTGCGGCGAGGACACGGAGGAGGGAAGGGCCCGGGGGCCCCGTGGTGGGGCGGCCGCGCACCCCGCTACTGCCCCGTTCAGCACCTAAGAAGCCCCGGCGGCTGCGGACCCACCCGGCGCCCGCGGGGGAGGGGGAGGAGGGGGGCCCGCGGCCCCGCCAGACGTGCGCCCCCTCCCGCGCCCCAGCCCAGAGGCCGCCCCGGCCCGGCCCGCGCCGACCTCCGGGCCCGCCCCGCCCCGCCCGCCCGCCCGCGTCCCGGGCCGCCCGGAGCCGCCGCCAGCCGCCGCCATGGGCCGGGCCCCGCCGGGCGAGCGCCGGCCGCCCAGCCCCGGCCCCGCCGCGCCGCCCGCGCCCTCGCCGCGCCGCGCCCGCGCCCTGGCCCTGCTCGGGGCCCTGCTGGCCGCGGCCGCGGCCGCCGCCGCCCGCGCCTACGCCCGCCACGCCGAGGCCCAGGCGGCCGCGCTGCAGGTCGGCCCGCGCCCCCCGCCCAGCCGGCGCCCGCGGGGGTCCCGGGGCGGGGGGGGCGGGCCGGGCGTCCGACCCGAGGGTCCTGCGGCGCGGGGGGGCGCGGGGGCGCGGGGGCGCGGGGGCGCGGGGGGGGCGGCGCCGGGCGGAGGCCGGGCCGGAGGGGCCCGTGGCCGGAGACCGTGTGGAGGCCGGGCCCGGCCGGCTCCGGCCGGCTCGGGGAGACCGGGGCACGGGGCGGGGACCGCACGCCCAGAGGGTGGCCTGGCGGCGGCCGCAAGGGCGCAGCATCGCCGAGACGGGGCAGGGCTGGCAGGGCCTGGGGCCCCGGGACGTGGGGAGCCGGTAGAAGAGAGGGCGCAGCGGGGTGGGCCAGATGGGGGACTGGCACGGGGGAGGGGCCGGAGGGGACAGTGCGGGCGGCACAGAGGGCAGCAGGGGCCTGGCAGGGCGGAGGGGGCCGGGACTCTGCGGAGGACACGAGGGGTGACATCTGGACAGACGGACGCGGTGCTGAGAGACCTCGGGAGATGTGGCCCGCGCGGCCCCTCCACCTGCTTGGGGTCCCCGACAGCCCAGCCCCTCCCTCCCCCGCAGGAGTCAGCCCTGAAGGCCCTGGGGACTGAAGGCCTCTTTCTCTTCTCCTCCTTGGATGCCGACCGGGACATGCACATCAGCCCGGAGGAGTTCAAGCCCATCGCTGAGAAGCTGACAGGTACCGGCGAGGGGTTGGGGAGAAGGGCCCCCGAGGCACCGCAGCAGCCTCCTGGCCTCCAGGTCCGCACTTGGGAGAGCCCCCCAGAGTGGAGGGTCCAGGCGCTGGCACTTTCTAGCTGGCGCTACCCGAGTGAGTGTGTGTGCGCACGCGTGCCCGCCTGTTTTCCGAGCGTGGTGCTGGTTCACGTGCCCTGACCTCTTAGAGCCAGACTTCACTTTGGGCACCTCGTGTGAGCCTCTTTAATCTCCACAGTGCTTTGTGAGAGGGACACGGTCACGCTCCTCGTGTTTATAGCTGGGGAGACTGCGGCCCGGGAAGCCTCACCAGCGTGTCCAGGCGCCAAGGTGCTGCCAGGATGCAGACACTATGCGCAGAGTGACCCGCGTGCAGTAGACAGTCGACGCACAGGAGCTGTTACTATTACACTAAACACTCAGCTTAGGTGCTGTCAGACTCCTGCATTCTTGCACAGTGGTTTGTTGTGTTGTTTTTTTTTTTTTAAGATTTATTTATTCATGTATATAAGAACCAGGGTACAGGCCAGATGTACAGGAGGTGAGAGGATTCACCAGAGACAGAGTGGGGAGCAGAACAGGCAGATTAACCAAAATACACTGCTGAGGGGAGCAGCGGGTGAGACAGGAGAGGTCTGTGGCGCCGGCCAGCTCTCTGGCCAGCCGGGGATCGAACCTGAGCTGCAGAGGCTGCGGACAGGTTCACAGAGCTGCGCTCAACCCACTGCGCCACCAGGGGAGGCCCTGTTTTTTTTTTCTTTCTTTCTTTTTTTTTGGGTAAAGATGAGGAGCTAAAACATTCTAATGGATGACGTGCTTCTCTCACCACCCCCACCCCCCACTGCCACCCAGTACACATTTCCCCTCCACTTCTTGTGACAGTTCTTGAACTTATGCTCTTGGGCACCTGCTAGTTACCCAGATTACCCACCTAAGTAGGTCAATAGACACAAAAGGTGAGGAGGCACCACCCCTGCTCCCCGGGAGTGTGGCCAGGCACCGTGATGGGCTCCCGTGTCTCCAGAGGTGATGTGAGGGTCGCCACTCGCTGGCCTGGTGACCTGTGGTCACTGCCGGGAGAGGAGGGTTAGCTGAGAAGTGCTAATTTGCTGGAGCTTGTGCACCAGGGTCTCCCAGCGCAAGTTGGTTTTGTCGCACAGATGGGCCAGTAAACAGGTCACCTGGTGGCTTTGCTCTGGCCTCTTACTCAGCACAGGCTTCTCAGAGTCAGCGCCCTGAGCTTTCCATGGCCGAAGAGCGAGATTTCCCTCATACTGACATGTCGGCTAAGCTTAGGGACGCCACAATTTTTTTTTTTTCCACATAAATCTTTTTCTCCATCAGGGGAAAATAATCCCTCCCTCCATCAGCTCCGACGCCACCGTGAGTGCAAAATTTTAGAACAAAACACTAAACAAAACCAACAAACACCAAGTCGAAGCAGACAGTCTCTAGTTGGTACAATTATGAGTGTTTAATTTATTTTTTTATTTTTTTTTTAGAGATTTATTTATTTTTATACAAGAGCTGGGGTACAGGCCAGAGATGCGGGGGGTGAGAAGAGTCACCGGAGACAGAGTGGGGAACAGAATAGGCAGACGGAACAAAGTACACTGCTGAGGGGAGCAGCGGGTGAGACAGGAGAGGTCTGTCCTGCCATGTGGGTTTCTCCCTGGCCAGCTGGGAATCGAACTCATGCTGCAGTGGCTGCAGATTACTTCATCGGTTGTGTCTTAACCCCTGCGCCACCAGGGAGGCCCATGAGTGTTTAATTTAAAGGTTCTTAGGAATTGTCTCTAATGAGCAAACATTACTTTTAAGTCAGGAAATAAAACATTTTATGAAAAAACTAACAAGACATAAAGTAATATATACTGTAATTATATGCACTATTTAAGTATATAGTATGCACGATAGAATGGTGGGCGCTATTATTAGTAATTATCTGAGATAACAGTAAAATAACCGGATAAGCAAGCGGACTAATAAGCCGCACACCCCCGGCCTCTGAGCTTCCTGGCTCAAGCGCTGACTTACAAATGCAGAAATGACAGAGACTCTTTAGAACCTGCCGCAGTCCCTGGGGAGTGCGAATTGAAAGGGCCACTTCCTGATCTGCCCCTTGGGGCTCTGAGCTGGGAACGTGGGTTCCTGAGCCAGGATTTTAAAAGGCCTCCTGGACACCTCTTATGACCCCTGTGAAGACCTGCTTCCTGCGCACCTATTTGGTCTGTCCACCTGTCCATCCGTCCACAAACACATCCGTCTGTAACTAAATGCCAGAGTGGGGAAAGCAGACGTGACAGACCTGCCCCTCTATTCCATGACCCGCGTCTGGGGCACAGTCTCCCATTAGTCACCCCTTTGCAAATTGGCTTCATTATGGCCTCAGCAGATACCTGAGCGGGAAGAGATGGAGAGAGTGCGTTCAGCCACTGCTGGGCCAGCGCCTCCTCAGACGGATGGGGAAACAGCGTCACCCAGAAAATCAGGGAGAAGCAGGCCCCCTCCCTCCTGACCCAGCGAGGTCTTGCTTTTGTCCACGGCTCTGAATCCTGTGACGGAACGTTTCTTGGACCCACGTTTGTTTTTCACAAGACGAACCCCCCCCCCCCCCCGCCCGCCCAACTCCCGTGACGGGACATGCGTGGTGGCACGGTCTCCATTTCTCACATAGGAAACCGAGAGGCCGAGCCATTTTTCCCCAGTTGTCCAGGAAATGGCGCCGACCTCCATCCGGAGCTGGGCAGACAGCGCCTCACCCCACTCTCTCCTCTCCATGCCCGGAAGGCAGTCCTGTCTCTGGTGCTGGCAGAGACGGCCGCTTGCCCAGAGGGCGCCTGGGCTCAGGAGAACAGAGGGAAGGAGGTGGTGAGAAGGGCCTGCCTGCAGCCAGCCTGGCCTGGAAGAGAGCCCAGGTTGGAGTCCGAAGGACTAGGTTTGAGCCCCAGCTCTGTGGCTCCACCTCTGGTAACAGGGAGGCAGCTGAAGTGTATTATGGGGTACTCCGTACCAGGCCTGGTGTTAGCCAGGATGATCTCATTGAACCCTCAGAACAAGCTGCCAGGCACAGCTGGTGAGGATGGGGCTGGGATGTGAACCCAGGTCATCTGAGTCTTTGAGGAAACTAAGATCTTAGATTCAAATAAGCCTGGGTTCGAAGCCAGACTCCCCTGCTGCCTAGCTGTGTGTCCTGGGGAAGTGACTTCACCTCTCTGAGCCTCCACTCTCTCCCTCATAGAAGGGCGTTGGTGATAATGGTGTTATGTGCTTCACAGGACTGCTGGGAAGCTACCGTGAGGCACGTGTTGGCGGCCACTCTGGTGCTTAACTTATATCCCTCCAGGCTGGCTCCTGGTCACAGGCCAGCGGCCAGCGCGAAGTCCTGAGCTCAGTGAGGCCCTGCAGCCTGTGGGCAGCCCCGCTCAGCTTTTGGTCTCACAGGGTCCACGCCTGTGGGCAGCTACGAGGAGGAGGAGGAGCTGCCCCCTGACCCCAGCGAGGAGACACTCACCGTAGAAGCCCGATTCCAGCCTCTGCTCCTGGAGTCCATGACCAAGAGCAAAAATGGGTTCCTTGGGGTGAGTTGGGGTAGAGAAGGCAGGGCCCCACCTGCAGGGCCACAGACACGAGGAGCAGCTGTGCTATTTATCTTCCTCGGCCACCCCTGTGCACCCAAAATGCTGGAACTGAGGGCCCAGAGGGGGTGCAACAGTGTCCTGATGCCCCTGCACAGTCTGGTGGGGGAGGCAGGAAGATATGTGTGAGCCTCTAACCCAGATAGGGGACCTGGGAGGGCTTCCTGGAGGAAGTGACATCTCACAGTGACTGAGGAAGGAGGGGCTGTGGGCCAGGTGGTGGCAGGGGAGGGAGGATCTGGCTGGAAGTGCACAGGGACGTGTTGATGCCACTGCCTGATTACCACCCTCTGTCCTCTGTGCTTTGTGCCAGTCAGTCTTTCCCACTCAGGCTTCAAGTTTCTTGAGAGCAAGGCTGGTGACTCACGCATCTGTGCATCGTGGGCCCCTGGGCAACCCTGGCACTTGCTAGGTGCTCTGTTGAACTCTGTGAACCAGACTTGAGGTGCACCCTCGCAGGGGCATTGGGTGGAGAGGGCCCCCATCTGAGGCCCAGTGGAAAGGTCTTGAGCCCATGGCTGGACCTAGGCCCCTAGCCCGGCCACCTTCCCACCCTCTCCTCCTGGCTTTCTCCACTCCATCCGCGCCTGGTCTCTCCCTGCTGTAACTTTCTCGTCTGCTGTTCCCGCACCCAGAAACAACTCTTCCACCTTGCCCGGCCCATCTCCACTCAGCCTGACGTCTCAGCTGATGCGCGGTGCGCAGAGAGGGAGGGGTGAAGAGCCGGCCAGTCCCCTGGCCAGTCCCGGGAGGACTAGTGGCATGTGTGGCTGGCACAGGGTACCCAGGCAGGGGCTTCCTGTCAGCAGGGCTGGAAGAGAAGACTCCAGAGCCTGAGGGACCTTGGTGTCCTGCAGCAGCAAAACAACAGGACAGATTTGGAACTGGGGGCGCTCCCTTTTCCACTCTGCTTTCCAGCCCGACACAGTGTGGAGAGCTGGGAGGGAAGACCCATTCGGGGGGATGGGCGGCAGGAGTATCCCGAGGATGCCTGAAAAGGAAGAAGGGCGGTGTGGCCGCTGCGGGGAGGGTAGGGAGAGCAGGGGTGACTCAGGCTTCAGGCTGGTGATGGGCGTGTGGTGGGCGATCGCCCCATGGGGACTGGAGGAAGGCAGCTGGGCTGGCGAGGAGGAAGTGAGGTTAGTTTGGATGAAGTTGAGAGAACATTCAGGGCAGAGCTCAGGGAGGGACTGGGAGCTGTGGCTCCAGGTCAGCCCCCTCGAGGCCATCAGCCAAGGTTCCAGAGAAGGGCCTGCAGGGCAGGCAATGACCAGAGGTTCTTAGGACCCTCTCCTGGCCCTCACACGTCCCTTCCTCCCTGCCCGCCCTCTCCCCAAGGGGTGCCGGTATGGCGCTGCCCCTCAGGCCGGGTCTGGGAAGGGGAGATAAGCTTTGGCTCTGGCAGAATAGTGCCAGGCCTGGCCAGCACCCGGCAGGGGACTCCCCCGCCTTCTGCCTCCTTGACTTGTACACTGGCTCTGGGCTAGAGGCCCCCACCCAGGCATAAGACAAGGGACCCCAAATTCGTGGTCTGTGTGCCCAGAGCTTCCCCTTTCCCCTGCTCCAGGTCTCCCACCTGGCCCTCTCCGGCCTCCACAACTGGACAACCGCAGCCTCGCCAAGCGCAGTGTTTGCTGCCCGCCACTTCCGACCCTTCCTTCCTCCCCGGGGCCAGGTGGAGCTGGGCCGGCCCTGGTGGATCATCCCCAGCGAGCTCAGCATCTTCACCGGCTACCTGTCCAACAACCGCTTCTACCCGCCGCCACCCAAGGGCAAGGAGGTGAGCAGCCGGGCCCCCCAGCTGGCACCTGGACCAAGCGCCAGGCCTGCTCCCCTGCTCCTGTCTCCCTCGGCAGCCCCCCTGCCTGGGCCCTGGGCGTGCAGGCACAGTGATCCTCACCCAGGGGATTCGGCAGCCCGGAATCCCACTTCCTTCCCCAGGTCATCATCCACCGACTCCTGAGTATGTTCCACCCTCGGCCCTTCGTGAAGACGCGCTTTGCCCCTCAGGGGGCCGTTGCCTGCCTGACTGCCATCAGCGACTTCTACTACACCGTGATGTTCCGGTGAGCCTCACAGCCTGGCCCGGGACTCGGCAGCACAGAGGGCACAGCCCCCAGGGGGCAGGGCCTGGATCCCCACTTACCCCCTGGGTCTGGGGCAAGCAGCTTTGGCCCTCCAGGCCTCAGTTTCCTCATCAATGGGTCCGGTGGCGGTGACCTCCTAGGAGGAAGAGGAAAGGCGTGGGATGTGCTCAGCAGGGGGCTGGTGGCTGTGACTGTGTCATCTGCCCAGAGGGGGTGTGTCAGAGCAGTGACACCAGTCACACACCCCCTCGGCTGTCGGCCGGGCTTCCAGAGGAGGGCCTGAGGGTGGGCAGCGCCTGGAGCGCCTCAGGCCTTCTCCCTGCCCACATGTAATCGCTTCCGTCCTTTCAGCCTCCTTCCCCACACAAGTCTAGCCAAGGGTTCCCAGGCTTTGGGGGCTCTGGGTCAGAGGGGACCTGCTCCCAGACAGACCCTTTCCCCCCCAGGATCCATGCAGAGTTCCAGCTCAGCGAGCCCCCCAACTTCCCCTTCTGGTTCTCACCTGGCCAGTTCACGGGTCACATCATCCTCTCCAAAGACGCCACCCATGTTCGTGAATTCCGGCTCTTCGTGCCCAATCACAGGTGGGAGCCTTGGTCCAGCCCAGCCTGAACCCTACTACAATTTGCCTCTTCTGCCCACGTCCAGGAGCTCTGAAACAAGGGCCCAGAGACCCCCTCAGTCTCTGCCCCTTCCTTTGCCAACTTAGGAGGGGCCAGAACTGACTAGGAGGAGGCAGCTTGAAGTAGGCTGTGGGGGGCCAGGGGAAGCTGTGGGGGTGAGGAGGGAGGCTGTGGGCGGTAGCGGGGAGGCTGTGGCGGGGAGTCATTCCATCACCTGACGGAATTGTCCCAGTGCAGTGTGGGCCTGGCCTGCCAACTCCGCACCCGGGGCCCAGGGCAATAGCCAGCAGATCCTGAAGCTGCAGCCTCCCTGCCCCAACGTTGTTGCCCTCCCACAGGCCCTGCTACAGCCTGCTCGGGCCCAGGGGACGGCTAGCAGGTGGGCAGGCCCTGGCTGGCCAGGGCCCAGGAAGATTTCCCCAAGGAAGGACTGGCTGAGCTGAGACCCGGGGGTGAGGAGTCCCAGCCAGGCAGCGTGGACAGCACATGGGAAGCCCTGCGGGCAGCTGTGGCCGGGCACTGCGAAGCCTGGGGTGGGGCGGGAGACGGTTCAGGCACAGCTCCGCGCGCTCGTCCAGGGTGCCCCAAGGGCTGGGCCTCGGGTCTTAGGAGAGTCCTCCCTGACAGCAAGTGGCCACTTGGTGGGCCCCGGTGCCTGAGGAACAGGACCTGGGCTGGGAGCCAGGAGGTCTATTTAGGTCTCAGCTGTGGTGCCAGGGGCTGTACAGCCCTGGCCCCCTTGGGGCCTCAGTTTCCTTATCTGCTGAGTGGGAGATTGCTCCTGGGCAGGGAGGAGGTATGGCAGGAGGAGAAGGTTGCCCAGAAGCAGGTGAAGCTTTCTCTGGGAGCTAGGGAGCACCCCGAGCCACTGGGAAAAGGAGGCAGGACTGCGCTGCTCCCCCTCCTCCCCGTAGCAAGCAAGCCTGTGCTGCGCATGCTCAGCTGGGCGCCTGTGCCTCCACCCTGGGGGGTAGGGGGTCCTGGACTAGATGGAACAGCAGATGACCAGGACCAGGCCACAGGGCTGCTGACCCCCTGTGAGGACCCCAGCTCGCCCTGCCCCTTCACCTGGTTGGGTGTCAGTCCTGGGGCACCCCCATGTGATGGATCTGCAGGGGGCACCTGACGGGCCCACACTGCCTTCTGGGAGGGAGCAGAGGCTTTTCATTCCTGCCCTCGCGCTCTCCCGGGCAGCCCGACCATCTCTGCCTTGGTGGTGGTGCTCAGTGAGCGAGACAGACTCGAACGCCCTTTTTAAGCTGTACAGGGCAGGGCCAGTAGAGGGGGTGGCTGCAGCGCCTCAGGAAGTAGCAGCCCGGGGAGACTGGGGTTCTGAGACCAGCCGCCCTGAGACCTGGGGTCCACCTTGCCAGTCCTCCTTGTCCACATCCAATGGGGCCAGTTGTGCCATTTCAAAGAAAGCCTGGTTTCCGGGCCTTGATGATGGTGGTGTCCTGACCCATCCCCAGGTCTCTGAACGTGGACATGGAGTGGCTGTACGGAGCCAGTGAGAGCAGCAACATGGAGGTGGACATTGGCTACGTGCCGCAGGTAAGTGAGCGCACAGGTGCTCCTAGCTGGGCAGAAAGGCGGGACTTAGCTGCAGGCCCGACCACTTACCTGCAGTCTCTCAGCCTGGCTGCAGGGCGAGTCCTGCTGGCATCCAGGGCCAAGGCCAATTCCTGTCAGGCTGAGGCCAGATGTCCCCAAAGCAGGATTCTGGGATGCTCCCTGCTCCTGTACACACCCGTCGTGGGCCCGCAGATGCCCGTGCAGCGGAAGGACTGGGTCTGGATGCTGGGTCTGTCCTGCACAGCCTTGATGATGCCCTGCCTCCTTCTCTGGGTCTCCACCCACCATACACACCCCACACACACACCGATGGGTGTCTCTGAGGCTCCCTCAGGACCCTGGGGGATCTTGCCCTTTCAGAGACTTCCCTCACCAGTGTCATCCTTCACTGACTTCTGGCCCAGATGGAGCTGGAGGCCACGGGCCCCTCAGTGCCCTCTGTGATCCGGGACGAGGACGGCAACACAATCGACAGCCGCCTGCCTTCGGGGGAGCCCCTCCAGTTTGTGTTTGAAGAGATCAAGTGGCAGCAGGAGCTGAGCTGGGAGGAGGCTGCCCGGCGCCTAGAGGTGGCCATGTACCCTTTCAAGAAGGTGAGGCTGGGCAGGGATGAGGGCCAAAGTCAGGCCCTGTGGTGCTGGGGCCGGCAGCTGTGGGAGCAGGTGGCATGGGGACGCTGGGCTCTGTGTGGGGCTTGCTGCCGAGGCTGCTTCCTACAGGACCCAGCCTGCAATACCTATACACATGTGCACGCACACACACACACACACACACTCTCTACATGCATGCACACACTACGTAGTTACACAGTGTGCTGCAGACATATGCTCCACGTGCACACAGGTACCATAAACGTGTGCACACTGCATGCATGCACATTACAGTCACATATATAGTATGCCCGTGTGCACCACCCTGCACATACATGCCTGCTGTGCAAACACATGCAGCTGCACCTGCACACACTACATGCATACATGCGCGCACTACACACCCACATACACTCTGCTGCGTGAACACACAGAGTACACTCAGCTCCAGAAAGTCACCCTGGTCATGTACAGTAGCTTCTTTCTGTCTCTGCTTGGCCCCAGGTCACATACCTGCCGTTTACCGAGGCCTTTGACCAAGCCAAGGCCAAGAACAAGCTGGTGCACTCGATTCTGCTGTGGGGGGCCCTGGACGACCAGTCCTGCTGAGGTGAGGGAGACCTTTTGGTCCCTGGGGAGAAGGGGAGAGACTTTACACCTTGTGGGATGCAGGAGGCTCCATGAGCAACAGGACTGTCCTGCCTGGGCAGACCTGGGCAGGGCCGGGTGAGGGCACAGGGATTTGTGCTGAGCCCAGAGGAAGCTGCTAGATATAGCAGGAGCCCCGCTCAGCCCCTTTCAGTGTAGAGACCTCCGCCAAGTGACCCCCAGGTCAGTTTTCTCAACAGTCATGGAGGGGTAACACCTTGAGGGAGGGGTACCACCTGGACTGTAAAAATGCATGTGAAAGCGCCTCATGCTCTGTAAAGTGTTGCATACAAGTAAGGGAAAAAATAGTGCTCGAGGGTGGGCTGACGTTCACTTATTCAGAAAATTCACTACAGACCGGCCAGGGTAGTACTCCGGGTGCCCAGCAGCAAGTCCAAAGATAAGCAAAACAGTGCCCCTGCCCTCACCTAGTCAATCAACAAACATCCTGCCATGCTGTGCGGCTATGTGCGGCATTTCTGTGATCCATTAGTCAGGGTGGTTCCTGTCCTCTGGGGGTGCATAATGTGTGCAGAAGTACAAGTGTGAGTGAGTAAGTGTAAGTGTGGAGCATTACACAAGGCACAGGCCAGAGTGGCATGAAGACTTTTGAGAAAGAGTGACATGGGCCTCCCCGGTGGAGCAGCGGATTGAGCATAGCGCTGTGAAGCTTTCTGCAGTCTCTGCAGTGCGGGTTCAATTCCCGGCTGGCCAGGGAGATTCCCACATGGCGTGGCAGACCTCTCCTGTCTCGCCCGCTGCTCCCCTCAGCAGTGTGTTTCAGTCCATCTGCCTGTTCTGCTCCCCACTCTGTGTCTGGTGAGTCCTCTCACCCTCCTGCGCCTCTGATCTGTATCCCAGTTCTTGTATTAAAAAAAAAAAAATCTTGAAAAAAAAAAAACAGTGACATTTAAGCTGAGACTTTAAAGGATGAGGAAGAGTTATAAGTGTTAAGAGGAAGAGAGTACCAGATAGAAGAACAATCTGTGCAAAGGCCCTGGGGCATGGTGGATTCAAGAAACTGTCACCATCTGCAAGTCCCTGAGCCAGGTAGACCCTGCAATCCAGTCTCAGCCCGGATGCCACCGTGTCCTTGGTGATAGTTACAGCTGCCGTTAGTTCCGCACCTACTCTGGCTGCTTTTGAATCTGGCGCTCAGTTGGGTGCACAGACCTCGTGTTTACTGATGGTTGAAACCTCAGGGAGACATGTGGGGGTGCCTCACTCTTCTGGTCTTGCCTCTCCCTGAACAGGTTCAGGGCGAACTCTCCGGGAGACAGTCCTGGAAAGTTCGCCCATCCTCGCCCTCCTCAACGAGAGCTTCATTAGCACTTGGTCCCTGGTAAAGGAGCTGGAAGACCTGCAGGTGAGTGGCAGGTAGGTGGGAGCAGCCCCCACAGCCCCCTGGGGTGGTGCTGGGGGCCAGAGCGTCAGGTTTGTTCTGTCCCCACAGAACAACCAGGAGAACCCAGCCCACCGGGAGCTGGCCAGCCTGCACCTGGAGAAGTACAGCTTCCCCGTGGAGATGATGATCTGCCTGCCCAATGGCACCGTGGTAGGCAGCCCTAGTGCTGGACAGGGCAGAAGAAGCAGGAGGCGCGGGCCGCAGCCCCCATCAGGCTGCGGGCCTGGCTCTGCCCTTTCTGGCTGCTCTCTTGGCCATGCCGAGCCTCCACTCTCCATCTGTCAAGCAGGACCCTGCCTCATGCAGGTGCCGGATGCTTCCCATGAGAAGGGGGCCTTCTCGTGGGAACCAGGCAGCAGGGGCACGGTCTGGCAGCAGAGTAGACAGGAACATGGCCTGGAAGGGGGAGGCTCCCCTCGGATATTGTGACCAGACCTGGGATGGTGGTGGTGGGGGGCAGCTTTGTGACGGAGAGGACCAGGCTGAGCCCCATGCTGAGCCAGGCTTCTGGACCCCACCTCTAAGGCCCTGGCCGGCAGCACGCATGCGCTCTCGGTGCACTCTCGCCGCTGCTTTGGGAGATGCTGCTCACGAACGCCCACTTTTCCAAACAAGGACACTCAGGCGCAGAAGGCTTACCACTAAGACGTGTGGCTAGCTCTGAAGCAGGCTGCCTGGGTCCCCAGCATCTCCTGCTCTTTTGATCGAAGCTGCCTCTCGCCCTTTAAGTCCCAAGGGGTGGTTGATTCCATGGGACTTGGGCTGTAGGAGGGTGGGCAGCTTCCCCAGGCTCTTGGGTGGGAGCCGCACAGGAGAAGGGGCTGGCCCAAAAGAGGGGTCTGGGGAGGGCCGGGGCCAAGGATGAAGATACCAGCCAGAGAGGAAAGCCTGGGGGAGAGCCAGCCAACTCGCATACCTCCACTGGGCACCCACCATGGGGGGACCAGGCCCAGCAGGGCCCCAGATTACCGAGCTGGGCAGATAGGACTGCTGGGGGCAGGGAGAGGCGCTGAGTCTGGCATGTGGTCTCCCATTCACTGATTTGCTTGTTGGTTTCCTGGGCACCGCCCTGAAGGAGCACCCTAGTTGGAGCAAAGGCCCATCGAGTGCATGGGTGTCTTGACAGAGGGTCAGGGTAGGGGTGAGAGTAAAGCGATGTTTACAGGCATTAGGCGTGGAGGAGCTGGTAGTCGGAGGGCCCTGTGTGAGCAGAGGCAGGTGGGGCCTGGCCTGGCCCTGGGCTCGGGTCTGGCGATGCGCCACCTGCCCTGCCTGGCCCACACCTGCTTCGGCCCATCTCCCAGGAGCGGTTGGGAGCAAAGGATGCCCTGAGCTGAGTGTGCCCCATGTTCCTCACCCAACCCTCCTCCCAGGTCCACCACATCAACGCCAACTACTTCTTGGATATCACCTCCATGAAGCCCGAGGACGTCGAGAACAACGTCTTCAGCTTCTCGTCCACCTTTGAAGACCCGTCCACGGCCACCTACCTGCAGTTTCTGAGGGAGGGTCTTCGGCGCGGCCTGCCCCTCCTCCAGCCCTAGAGTCCTCCAGTGAGGAGCCAGGCCGGTAGGGAGCCAGAAAGATGGGCCTTCGCCTCAGAGCCAGTGTCCTCACACATTCAGACTTCAGCCCCCGCTGCCCCAGGCTGTCTGTGGGGTCACACCTAGCTTTGCCCAGGTGCTGGGGGGTAGGCCAGGGCCTGCCTGGGCCAACGGGGTGGGTGGCCCTCTGGCACTGGCTGCTACCATCCACCTTTTACTTCCCACCTGGCTCCAGAAGCTGCCTAGGATCCCCCAAACAGGGCCTGGGTCATCTCCCTGGACCTCACCCACTCAGGCACATAGTCCAGGTCCTTCTGGGATGACCAGTAGAGAGAAAGGGCACTAGGAAGTCACAGGCACCCCTCTCTCCTTACTGGGCCAAAGAAAACATCAAGAATCTGTCCCTTGGTGCAGAAGTCAAGGGTCAGGGTTATGGGGGGAAGGGGGGCTGCCAGCAAAACACTCGTTTATCTGGAACCTTCCTGGCCACAGTTCTGGCTGCCCTGCTGCACTGGTGTCCCCCACCGGTCAGTCTCAGCTGAGGGCAGCCTCCTGGAGGCTCTGGGCAGAACCCTCCTTCAGGAGAGCGTGTACCACTACCCCTGGGGCTCCCCAGACCACTCAACCTGACCCACTGATAGGACCCCAGAATCTGTCTCATGACTGCTGTAGGCCAGCTATCTGGGGAGCTGTGTGGTATAGTAGGGATCTGTCCTTAGTGGAGTCCACTGAGTGACCCCTGAGGCCCAAGGCCAAGGCCCCCTACCACCTATCCCAGCTCGGATGCACAGTAGGACTGCTGGATCCAGGCCCCATGACACCTGCCCTGACCTCAGTACCACAGCAGTGTAGCCCCGCTCAGGGTCGGAGCCTCCCAGAGCCAGCACCATCCTGGCCGCCAGGGCAGCCCAGACCAGCTCGTCCACCTCTGGGTGGCCGCTGACTCTCATTGGCCACTCATGGACCTTGGCCCATGTCCCAGGCATGGACGGTGGTCAGTCTCTTTTTTTATATGTGCAGAAAATTGTTTTTATGTGAACTTTCTCACAGTTTGTAGGTATTTTTGATAATCCCAGTACCGAGGAGAAATAAGGGGCACTGGTTTCCCCCGGCAGCTGCCTCGTGATGGCTGGATCTGAAATCCTAGGTGGGTCCGGCTTGATGTCTTGCAGTTGCACCTGTGGGAAGAAACCGTCCTCTCTTCTTTCTCCTCTTCCAGGTTTTCTAAAAGTCCTCAGAGCAATAGTGTTCCCCATGTCTATCCTTGTCCTCCGCTCAGGCCCACAAGGGCCGTCAGGCTTTCATTAAAGTCTTGATGCCAGGCCTGCCCTCCTGCCCCACACTCACCGATGCCCCCCACACCTCCCAGAAGCTCACTCTTGAACTGGAAAAGGGGGGAAGGCAGACAGATCTTCACATTCCCCGGCCTCCCATGCTGGCCCCTGCCTGCCACCAGGGCCTGCTCACAGCCGACCTTGTTCTCACCTCTGTGTGAGGTAGAGCAACAGTGGCCAGTGACCACGAGACTGGCCATCAAGGCCCTTCGTAAAAAATGACACTTGTTTTTTCATTTAATCCTTACAACCAAGCTGTGAGGTGACTAGTAACGGTTCCCGTTTTGTAAGTGAAGAAGCTGAGCCTCAGGGAAGTGACGCTGAGGCTTAGCCTGTATCTTGACTTTGAAGTGCTTGATGTTGCACTGCAGCCCGACCCTTCCCCCCTGTCTGTAGCCACAGAGATGAAAAACCTTCAAACCAGAATGTCTCTCGTTGTCCTCCAGCCTTCAGATCAGGTGAGGTGGGAGCCAGCGAGCTAGGCTGCGCTTCCATGCCCCTTACGGGGGAGGGCGCCTAAGCCTACTGGGTGCTTCCAGACACGAGCGGGTGGAGGGCAGTGGCAACCAAATGGCCCTGCTGTGCTGGGCCGGGAAGGCTGGCTCCACTTGCATAATCTTGGCCCTATGGAAGGCGCTGACTGGAGGGGGGTTTCCTGTATCTTCATCCAAGGCCTCTGCCTGACCCCCCCACTGTGCCCCCAGCTGTCCTTGTCACCTCTTTGCCACTTTCCGCCCATCCCCAACATGTTCTATAATAAAACTGGAGGAATGAGGGTGGTTCTAAGTGCCTTGCCTTTGAGCGGGGTGTTGTTCAGTTGTGTCCTCCTTGGCTGGACTGCTGGGATGGGCCTGGTGGATGGTCAAGGAAGCTTGGCTGGAACGCCCCTGGGGACTATCTTACCCATCCCTATAGGGCTGCAGTGATTTACTTAAAGGCGTGACAGGCCAGTAGAAGTTACTATTCTTAGAAGGGGGAGGAGAAAATCTGGCACTCTGTATTGAGAAAGATTTTCTGAAGTTAAATCTGTTGTCTTAGAATCAGAGCCTGAGATAGGCATTAGGTCATTCTAAGGTGTGCACTTCAGGGAAGCCTGTGCAGGAGCTGAGGCAGAACTGAAACGGGAATACTGAGCAGGGATATAGTCTTAAAGCTTAGCCCTGCGCTGGACCCAGGGGAACGACCCGGGGGCCATAAACCACACCCCAGAGCTGAACTGGCCTCTGGCCTCCCCCTTGGTCCTTGCCTTGGGGGTCTGGGGCTGTGGAGTGCATCCCAAGTTGGGGCCTCCATGCTCCCTCCTGCAAGAGCAATTTTCAGGAGAAGGGGATAGCTGCGAGCAGCCAACAGTGGCCAGGGATGGATATACTGGCAGGCCAGAGGGACAGCCTGGGTGCAGGCACAGCATCTAGCAGCCACACAGAGGGAGCAAAGCTAGAGCTGCCTGCAAAGCCCACCCTTGCCAGGAACGTGCAACGATTAAAGCCACGCTTTGCCCTCCTGGAAAGGGCTAGACCTGGAAGTCAACCTTCACCATGTGGAAATATGGTGGGATCAGGCTGGAAAACTGAGGTCTCCTGCCAGGACCAGCTACATAATTTCCCCCAGCCAGTGCAAAATGAAAATGCAGAGCTCCTGGCTTAAAAAAAATGAATTTCATGAGGGCAAGAGCAGAATATTTAAAACAAGAGCACAGAGTTCTGAATGTGAGGGCCTGTGCATCCGCGTAGGTTGTCGCCCAGGAAGCCAGCCTGCCCCTAGCAGCTACAACTTGAAGGCTTGGAAACCAGCACCCTTCAGCCTGGGAGCCAGGCGCGGCATCCTGAGGGTAGAAGCAGGAATGTGACCCAGGCCTGATGCCATGGAGACCAGGGCCTTGAGGCAGAGCGTGGGGGCGTGTGGAATGATGTGGTCTCCCTCAGTGTCTTTGGGGTCTTGCCCAGTAATCCACCCATCTGACCAACTCAGATACCATGGGGGTGTGTGTGTGTGTGTGTTAACTGACGGCTAAAATGAGAGGAAGCCACAGAGTGCGGGAGGGAAACGGACCCACTCTTGCTGGGGAGACTGCTGAGGGGACCAAGGAGCCGCTAGGTGGGGCGGGCCCGGGGCGCGGGGTGAGGATTCTGAGGGCCGCAGTAGGGTGGGTACGGCGGGCGCCGCGCGTTGCCGGGGCCGAGCATCGACACAGCCAGCCCTCGGTTTCCAGATCGTCAGACCCGGCCCAAGACACAAGAGCAGCAAGCCGGGGAGAGCGGCTGCGGGCCAGCAGGACTACGGGGTCTCCAGGCGGAGGCCACGGCGCTCTCCGCTGACCCCGCCGGCGGGGCGTGGCCTCGAGGGTGGGCCTGTCCGCTCCCCCCCAGGCTCGCGGCCCCGCCCTCCCGCCGAGGCCACGCCCCCGGCCCGGAGCCGGCGGCGCTCCCAAGCGTGCGGGGGCGTGGCCCGGCGCGCAGCGGCAGGAACTGCTTCCGGGGGCGGGGCGGAAGTGAAGGCGGTGGAGGCTGGGCTGCCCGCGGCGGTAGGAGGGGCCGTGAGGTGAGTGAGTCCCGGGCCCGAGTCTGAGGTGAGGCGGGTTCGCGAGCCGACCGGGAGGCTGGGCGCTGCCTCCCAGCCCGAGGAGACGCGTCCCAGCGCCGGGCGCTGCGCGGAGCCCGCGGCTGCTGCGCCGCGCCAGTTCTCGCGGGAGCTGCGGTTGTCCGCGTCGTGTGGCGGGGACGTCCCGAGGGGCCGCGCCGGAGCCCGCCGGAGCCCGCCGGCCGCGGTGACAGGGCTGCCCCGGCGGCTTCTGGGCTCGGCCGCGCGTCTGCCGCCCCTTCGCTCTGTCCGGGGCCCATCCCCGGGCCTGTGGGTCCAAAGGCCGCCCGGGCCGGCGGCGAGAACTCGGCCGACCTTGGCCGGCCGCTCCGGGCCGCGGCGGGGGAGGGGAGGCGTGTCCCGGCCGGGCTCCGGCGCAGCTGCCGGGGCCGCGCGGGCCGACGCTCCCGCCGCTCGGCGAAGTTCCGCTGAGCGCGGCGGCTCCGCGGGGCGCCCGGCGCCTGGGGCGATGGGACGGGCCTGCTCTGGAGGAGCCGCCCGCGGGAGACCGTGTGGACGGGTCGTGACAGCAGTTTCGAAAGGGGCGCTGGGAGCGCAGGGGGGTGACCAGCCGGGGTTGCGGGTGACCCTGGGGGGAGGGGAGGAGGCCAAGTGGTGTTCTCGTGCGTTCATTTCTTAACAGTCGTGTGAGCGCGTTCTGTGTCAGGCGGGCCCTGGCGTGCCCGCGGTGGGCCCGGCACACTGCACCCTCCCCCCTGCGGGGACTCCGACGGAAAGGCAGGCTGCTGGGGGCGAGCAGTAGAGCACCTGACAGTCAGGGGAGTGATGCTTTAGAAAATAGGTTGAGCCTGGTGAGGGTGCTGGCGTTCGGAGCAGAGGAGACGGTGTGGAAAGGGCTGAGGGTGTGCTCGGGACTGACAGTGCGGGGACTCCAGCGTGGCCGGAAGGCAAGAGGAAAGCAGGGGTGACGGAGGTACACAGGGGCCAAACTGGACAGGCCTTGTGGGCGGCGTGAGTTTGGTCTAGGGGGTAGAGGACAGTTTGGGCCTGATTGTGGAGGGCCTTAGTCCATCTGAGGAGTCTAGATTTGATCCTGTTTGCTCTAGCTGGCAGTGTTCTAAACATGGGGACACTATGACAAGCAGTGTGTTCCAGAAAGAGCCCTTTTTTGAGTGAGGATGAGGCCCAATTGAGTCTTTGGAGGTAAATGCAAAGAGGCAGTGACTGCAGTGACATGGGGAAGCCTGGTTATGTGCACTCGTGGCACACTGGCATTCAGCAGAGCCTGGCACAGAGGGACTTCAGGAAAGGGTTTGGACTGTGCTGTGGTTGGAGCCCAAGCAGGAGGCAGCAGGATCTGGACCATACTTAGGTGCTTTCTCCAAGCATAACCACTGAGTGGCCTCAAACAAGTTCCTTCCTTTCTCCAGCTTCCTTTCCTGGTGTGTATCATAGAGCCGGTGGTACCTCCTCTCCCAGAGATAGGCGACCCTCCAGGTTATCAGAAGGAACTGCTGTGGCCACTCATGCCCATCCCCTGTCCAGAGCCCGTCCGTGGCTTTCCAGTGACTTCTGAACCCGTGTTCCCAGCCCTCGTGACCAGCAGCCCCAGTCTACCTTTGCCGTTTGTCATACTATGCTCTTCTTTACCCATCTCGTAGCCTCCTGCCCTGGACTTGTGCTATTGCTGTTTTCCTTACCTTACCCTCTGAACTCACTATGGGACCTTGGAGCCAGTGGACTGAACTCACTTGGCCACCTCCCTAGTATGCTTCTCTAGAGCAGTGATTATCAGCCTCTGCTAGAATTCGATTCAGGTCCTATCTCTTCTAGATTGTGAGTTCTCTGAGTTCGTAGCTGTCTCGCTCCTGTAGACCCTGCAGTGCCCAGCTCAGGGCCTGGCACAGAGTGGGTATTGGTTTTTTGTTTTTTAAAGATTAATTTATTTTTATACAAGAGCTGGGGTATAGGCCGGAGACGCGGGAGGGTGAGAGGCTTCACCAGAGGCAGAGCAGGGAGCAGAACAGGCAGACGACAGAGATACACTGCTGAGGGGAGCAGCGGGGGAGACAGGAGAGGTCTGCCTCTCCTGTGGGATTCTCGCCGGCAGGGACTGAACCCGCACAGCGCAAGGCTGCAGACAGCTTCGGAGCGCAGCGATCAACCCGCTGCACCACCGGGGAGGCCCCAGACTGGGTATTGTTATGTTTGATGAACAAGGAATGGTGATCTCACCACGCAGGGCAGCTGTGAAGAATCAAGTCAGGAGCAACCCCACCCATCTGTGTCAAGTTTTAACAGTGCATTAAGCACTTTAAAATCCCATTTCACTGATTGACCCTTAAAGTTACCTAGAGAGGCAGCTCTTCACCTTTTTTAGAGAAACCAGCTTTCGGAAAGGTTGGGTGGCTTGCCTGAGGCTACAGAGCCAGTAGGGAGCAAAACTTTGGCTCTTTTCCCGGCACCAGTAGACAGAGACTAAAGCTGGTTGCTCACTGTTCTTGCAGAGGCTCAGCAGTGCCTGACTGGGGAGCATGTGGTAGGGTAGATGAAGATGCTCAGGCTTTTACGCCGCTGGCCACTCTGGCTCTCACCTGCGGCCTGGATTGTGCTAATGTGGGAAGTGCTTGGGTGCGCGGCGGGCCGTGAGGCATGCATGCGTGATGGTGGACCCTGAGTATGGTGTGGGCATGCTTAGGAGAGCACACCTGGGCCTGCAGGGTGAGGCTATACGAGCAGCATCACTCAGAGGCAGCAAGATGACGGCAAAGAATGGCTACGAAAGGCAGCGACCGCGCCAGAGAATGCTCAGGGAGAGCAGAGATGGGGGGGGGGCAGGGCGCTGGGAGGCCTTGCCAGCCCATGGGCTTGCCCCACAGTTGGTGTAGAAAGAGCAGCAAAGCCTAAAAAAGCCACTGAGGGCTCCGGACTCTCCTTTGCCCGTCTGCTCAAACCGATGGAGAACCTGCCCTGTGCTTGCTGGCGCTACACGCATGCTGGGCTTCTGCGTCTCTTCTCCAAGTATGAATCCTGGGCGCAGGGGCGGGTACCTGTGATTCCGCCTTCCTGAGTGCTTTTTAACTATCAAAGGATCCTACTTACATCTTTAGAAGTTTTACCTCAAGAAACCTAAAGTCCCAGGAAGGCTCCAGGGCCCGCCAGGCTCACACAGCAAGCCTGACAGAACCTTAAGGGTCTCAATTTGGGTGAGGGCAGCCTCTTGAGCCGCTTTTCTCACTTTGGAACAGAAAAATCTTGGCATTAGTCATGGTTCAGCAGGGCCTGGTCTGGGAGGGCTTGTGTAGTGGCCACTGAGCCCCCATGTGGGGTTGTTCCACAGGAAGAGAAGTCTGATGCCCCTTGAGATGGCCTGATATGGAGCCACGCCTCCCGCCTCAAGCCCCCAGAGCTGCCCTGTGGCTGCCGTGTCCTTCAAGTGCAGGAGCTGGTTGAGATGTCGGGAATGGAAGCCAATGTGGTGAGAGGCGTACTGGGGCTGCAGGGGGGCGGGGGAGACAAGTGCTGAACCTGCCGAAGTTCTGGGGCACGGGCTGTGTGCCCTGAGGCTGCTGGCCAAAGTGCAGGCTGCTGACTGAGAAGGTGCTCTCAGAACTGAGCCTGACTTGCACCGCAGGTGCTTCCTGGGCTGAGGGACTGGGCTCCCTGAGAGGGAGAAGGATGGGGGCCAGGAGCTGGACCGCAGTCTCTGAGGTTGCAGCTGTCCCTGTCTCTGCTTTAGACCATCCCAATCTGGCAAAACAAGCCTCATGGGGCTGCTCGAAGTGTAGTGAGGAGAATCGGGACCAACCTACCGCTGAAGCCGTGCCCCCGGGCGTCCTTTGAGGTGAGTGTGCTGAAAGAGTGGCGTCGGAATAGGGGAGAACGGTGCCGCTTTTTCCCGGTCGCCTTTTCCTTTTGTCCAGAATTAGTAAATGCTTGTATCGGGTCTGGTCATGCTAGGGGGAAAAGGATGTCCTAAAGCTAATTCCATAGACGCTTCTGACAAACCTGTGACCGCACTCCCAGTCTGCCCATAATAATCTTGCATCTTTGATGCTTCTGCGAAGTGGCTCAGATTTCAGCAGGCTCCAGCAATCCAGCTTACCAGAGTAGCCATAGTCCAAAGGCCCTTGATGAACCGGATGCCCTGACTAGCCATCTTCTTTGCTGAGGTGTTTGCCTGCAACCCTGGCCAGCCTTTCAGGTGCAAACGGTACTGAGCGAGACTGAGTTGAACTCTGCTTTTCCCCACCAGCTCTACAACTTGGTCACTCAGCCACCTATTTTTAGTGTCTGAACATACTTTGGACTACTTCTGTCTCCCGTGTAGGGGCCATCCCTACCTACTGTGCAGTGCAGATTCTTGTCTGACCTTGGTCTCTGAGACCTTCAGCAGTGGGAAGTTAAGTAGCATTTACTAGCCCCAGCTGCCTCCCTCTAAGAATAATTAAGTATCAGTTTTAGTCTAGATACTTGAGGTGTGTTTGGGGAGGAGAGAAAAGAGATACTTCAGCTTTCTGCCTACACAGAGGAGACAAATACATGCCTGAAAAGATGTGGGCCCAGGAAGACAAAGAATGAAGGAGCTGAGTTTGTGTATCAGATGCTGAGTTGTAGAGGAGTTGGATGTATCAAGGTATTAAAAATGGGACTGGAAGTAAGGAGGGCTGCTGTCCCATGACCCACATTGCCAGTTTTCCAGCATTGCCTAAAGGATCTGTACAGGATGAGGCCCTGCTGCCTCAGGTGCTGGAGATAAAGGACAGCATAGGCGGGGAAGGTAGGGGGTGAGCAGGACTCAGTGGAGGTTGACCCTGCATTTGGCTGTAACACTGCCAGTCCTTTGGCCAGACTGCTACTGGCTAGGCAGCCGCGGGCAGAGGGCAGAGGCTTCCATAGAGCGGCACCATGTGTGACGCGTGTTAGTAATAATTGCTGGTAGGTAGCACGTCTTCAGATGTGTTGACTCATTTGATTGACAGGAACACTGGCTAGTGAGGCAAGCCTCATGGAGGCTTCCCTAAACGGCCATCCTAGCAGAAGCTCCTGGGGCAGTGGAGTGTCACTTCATGCCTGTGCCACCCAGGCTCCCCATCCAAAATTCAGAGCTATCAATTCTTGATCTACCCACCGATCTGTGCGGGAACTTCTGATGGTAATTCATGTATAGGTGATTTTGAGAAATTATTCCTGGGTAATTATAAACAAAGCGCCTTTATTTAAAGAGCTCTTAACTGATTTGTTTTTAAAATTTACCCATACAAAAATATTAATGAAAGTAAAAAATAAAGGGAAATAAATTGCTTGTAATCAGTCATAACTGTTAATGTTTTAGTGTAGTTCTTTTCCATCTTTTTCCAGATGCATGTTTTTGTAATTATAACAAATATATGACTGAATCCTAATTTTTCATTTAACAGTGTCACTCAGCCTCTGTTCCTTGGTGGTTCATTTTGGTCAAGGAGCTATTTTAAAGAATCCTATTATGATTCCTTTTGTATAATTATCTTTTTATCTAAATATAAATATTAAAATAGCCAAGTTTATTAAAATGTTGCTTAACAATTTAAATCCCAGTTAACTACAAAGATGTAAGAGCTAGCTAGAAATCTCCTGAGGCTCTAACAGATTCTTGATGTCCTTGCACGTGTATTTTTTTTTTTAAGATTTATTTTATTTATACAAGAATTGGGGTACAGGCCAGATGCGCGGGAGGGTGAGAGGATTCACCAGACAGAGCAGGGAACAGAATAGGCAGACTGACGAGATACACTGCTGAGGGGACCAGAGGGCGACAGGAGAGGTCTGCCCGCCATGTGGGTTGCTCTGAGGCCGGCAGGGATCAAACCAGCACTGCAGAGGCTGTGGACAGCTTCACAGCGCTGCACTCAACCGCCCTGCGCCACCAGGGAGGCCCTGCACATGTATTCTTGCAACCAGAGGATGAGAGGCTCTTAGACGGCGGCCACGTCTAATAAAAGGAAACTCTGGCTGTTGCCTCTGGAAACTCCTTTCCTCTAGCCAGTGGTCAGTAAGCTGTTTCTTTAAAGGCCAGATAGTATTTTAGACTGTGGGCTGCCATAGTCCCCACCCTTGCTGCAAGTCCCTGTTTTGCTTGGATATAGCAGCCTCTTAATTGATCTTTTCACCCTCCCATGTTCTACACAGCAGCCAGAGTATAATCTTTTGAAACTTAAAATCTCCTAGTGACTCAGTACACATCTTAGAATTAAAGCTCCTAATTCATTTTCCAACCTCTCTCAATCCCTGCTCATCCTCTGTTCCACCTATGCTGAACTATTTGTAATCCTACCAACTCTTTTGCTTCTGATCAGTTACTCATGCTGTTTCCAACCAGGACTTTTTTTTTTTTTTTTTTTTAAGATTTATTTATGCATACAAGAGCTGGAGTGTAGGCCAGAGGTGTGAGAGGTGAGAGGATTCACCAGAGACAGAGTGGGGAGCAGAACAGCAGATTGACTGAAACACACTGCTGAGGGGAGCAGCAGGCGAGACAGGAAAGGTCTACTGCACCATGTAGGTAGCTCCCTGGCCAGGAATCGAACTCATGCTGCGGTGACTGCGGCTAGCTTCATAGTGCTGACACCTAATCCCTTGTGCCACCAGGGAGGCCCAAGGACCCTCTTCTCCCTGCTCTGAGAGGCCTTCCTGACACTGTGCTGGACTAGGTGCCCTCTGTAGATATTTTGCAGTCATTGCCTCATGATGTCATCACTTGTTGATAAATTCTGCTTCCCCGTAGACCTTGCCCAACATCTCTGACCTGTGTCTGAGGGATGTGCCCCAAGTCCCTACTCTGGCTGACATCGCCTGGATTGCTGCAGATGAAGAGGAGACATATGCCCGGGTCAGGTAGCTGAGGCAGTACTGGTCTGAGGAATGGAGAACTACTTCCCAGAGCAAGTGGCAAGCAACAGGGAGTGTGCTTGTGAAAGGCTGAAGGCATTATGGGGAGCTTTGGGCTCAGACTGGGAGCAGAACCTGGCTCTGATAACTCTTAGGAGATGAAGGGATTGTAGACGGGATGCAGCAGCCAGCTGTCTGTGACATACATGCTTTCCCTGATCCAGGAGTGATACACGGCCCCTGAGGCAAACGTGGAAGCCCAGCCCTCTGATTGTCATGCAGCGCAATGCCTCGGTGCCCAACCTGCGCGGGTCCGAAGAGAGGCTCCTGGCTTTGAAGAAACCAGCCCTGCCAGCCCTGACCCGTACCACAGAGCTTCAGGATGAGCTGAGCCACCTGAGAAGCCAGATCGCTAAGATAGTGGCAGCTGATGCAGGTAGGATCCCGAGCCAGGGCCAGAATACAGCAGGCTGTTCTTTTTCCTCTGGCTCTTACACAGGATAGGGGCAAGGAAAATGATGGTCCCTGGTAATTGAGGTAATTCAGGCCCAAAAGTTTTGGACAGGCTCTGAAGCCTAGCTATCCTATAGCATTCCTTGGATTACTTCCACCAGCCCTTTTGGGCTCACTAGTTTGGTTAGAACAAAATCTTCATGTAGCCTGAAGCCCCAGGCGGATTCCCTACCTAGGCCACAAAAACCAACATCCGCCTTTAAGTGTCTTTAAGATTTTGTCTTCCATTAGCCCTCAGTGGCTTTCCTTCTCAGTGAGAAATAAGCATGCCCCACCACTGAGTCCCCTTTAAGCCCCTTTTCCCATTTCCTTATCCTTTCTACCGCAGACCACCTCTGTCCCTCCACCTTCACTGTCTGCAGTTAAGGCAGAACCACTGGAAATGGGTGGGAGTATGCCTTCACATATTTAATTCCCTTATACTGTAGTTTTATAGAGGAATTGCACAAATTTCTAATTTAAATTCGTCAGTTATCCAACAATTTTGTTGTTATCCAAGAGGCAGCTGTAGTTTATGTGAAATCAGTGTTTCTTAGAAACTGAGGAAAATCCACTAAAGTTTGGGAAACTAAAAGGACTATTGCCATTCTATTTTTGTTGCAGAGTATTTCTTCCAGTCACCTGTAGGAGCATTCAGAGGAGCATAGTCAGAAGCACTACCCCAGTTAAGAGAAAAGGACATTGTTGCCCACTGAGGAATGGGGGCTTTCAGAAGCCAAAGTCTCAATGGAGTGGGTTTTTCTGTCCTCCTAGACCACCACTAAGAGCCGGGTACTTCTCCACCTCTTTGAGGTCCTGAGGGGAAGGCTAGTGCAAGAGCCTCTACTGGTACCATCCTGGGCTCTCCCAGGATGTCAGTGTGTCAGCCCAGGAGATAACTGATAGGCGGTAGGGAGAAGATTTTACTGCTGGATTTAGTCCCAATCTCCATCCATGCCTATTGTTTTCTCTTTCAGCTTCGGCTTCATTAACGCCAGATTTCTTATCTCCAGGAAGTTCAAATGTCTCTTCTCCCTTACCTTGTTTTGGATCCTCATTCCACTCTACAACTTCCTTTGTCATTAGTGACATCACCGAGGAGACCGAGGTAGAGGTCCCTGATCTTCCATCAGTCCCCCTGCTTTGTTCTGCCAGCCCTGAATGTTGCAAACCAGAACACAAAGCTACCTGCAGCTCGTCTGAAGAGGATGACTGCGTGTCTCTGTCCAAGGCCAGCAGCTTTGCAGATATGATGGGGATCCTGAAGGACTTTCACCGGATGAAACAGAGCCAAGATCTGTAAGTACCTTGAGAAGGAGCTCTGGTGCTCTATACTCTCTTAAGTTGCCTGTGGCCAGTGATCTAATAGAAGGTACCTAGACCTTAGGAGTAGCCATGTGTTATTTCATTCACAGAGCTTGTTACCTGGCTTGCTACTGCCTGGGGTCCCAGTCTGAGAAAAGAGAGCCTTACATTTGATTGGGGTGATCTAATTGGGAGTGTTAAGCTAGAGCAGGGATTTTATAACTCATCTAATCCAACTCTGAACCACCAGGGGGGACCATCATCATTTCTCATACTGCTAGTTATAATAACCCTGTACCTCACCCTTCAAAATGTGGGGTTACATAACAATTTAGCTCAAATTGGTACTTTCTGGTGAAAGGAGAATTTCATGAAGTTGGAGGTTTCTACTTTAAAATATAGTGGGGTTCGTTATGCACATCACCCTTATAAATTTAGAGATTTGAGAACAAGGCTTTTGAAACTTAGTGGTTCAAAAGCCAGGCTGCCCATCAAAATTACTCATATTCTTAAAAATATACTAAGGGCGTCCGCTGGTGGGCGCAGGTGGTTGAGCGCAGCGCTGTGAAGCTGTCCGCACCCTCTGCAGCTCCGGTTCGATCCTGGCCGGCCAGCGAGGGTCCCACATGGTGCAACAGACCTCTCCTGTCGCTCCTGCTGCTCTCCTCAGCAGTGTATTTCGTCAGTCTGCCTGTTCTGTTCCCTGCTCTGTCTCTGGTGAATCCTCTGACCCTCCCGCGAATCTGGCCTGTGCCCCAGTTCTTGTATGGATAAACAAATCTTAAAAAAAAAAAAAAAAAATACACACACACCCCCCTCCCCCACCACAAACAAGGAATGGCATTCTAGGTGTCTCTGATGGCATTCTGAGGGAATCTGGGAAATACTTACCTTGAGAAATTCATGTGTAAGAGGAGCCACAGAGCTCCAGCCAGAGGGGGTCACCCCACCTTGCAGTGTTTCTCCAGGTGGGCTGCAGCAGCCCAGAAGCCTGCCAAACTCAGGTTCCTGAGTAATGAAGCATTTGACACCCAGACTCCAAAGGCCAGGTTATGCAGCTCTGTTAATGCAGATTAATGCTATTTGGGGATCATGGGGATGCGGTCTCTCTCACAAGTGAGGTCTTAGGGAAGGAATCCCGTTGTATTGCAGGCCCCATTCACCTCTGAAAACCAGCCAAGACTAAATGACTCACTGCTTCTTGGTCATATGTATATTAGGGAAGTCACTTTCACCTTCCTCTCTGCTCCTTGCCAGGTTGGTTCTACTGCCCCTTGTTCAGGGCTGCCCTTAGACCTTTTCTTCAAGTCAGTGTTTTACGGATTAACTCTCAATTTTTTTTTACTTATATTTTGTACCATCTTAAATCCAAGACCCTCTTCCCAGTCTTGCACTGAGATCTCTTCTCCCTTAATAGCAGCTGGGTTGAGCTGAGAATGGAAGCATAGCCCCATTAGTTTCTCTTAGTTTTGCTTCCAAAGTTTAGTAATAATTTTTTTAATAAAGATATATTTACTTATGCATACAAGAACTGGGGTGTAGGCCAGAGGTGTGTGTGTGGGGGGGGGGTGTAAGACGATTCACCAGAGACAGAGTGGGGGCAGAACAGGTGGATCTACTGAGATACACTGCTGAGGGGAGCAACAGGCGAGGCAGGAGAGGTCTGTTGCGCCATCTGAGTTGTTCCCTGGCTGGAGATAGACCTTCTGCAGTGGCTGGCGATAGCCCTGAGACTTTAACTCCTGTGCCACCAGGGAGGCCCCAAAGTTTAGTCATCATTCTTGGACTCATCTAGCCTAATGACCAGTAAAATGCCTTTGTGAAGCTATATGTAAGTTCACTAGAATTTCAAGCAACTGTTTTCCAGATACCTAGGCTGCTCTTCTATGATGCACCAGGTATTTTGGAACCTACCCCAATCTGGATTTGATTTTGTACCCACAGATACCTTATGACATGAATGTTTAAAGTGTAGATTTCCTATTAAAATCTCACAGCGCCCTGAAGTAAAGGATTTCTTACTAACTTATCTTTTCCCCAGAACTGAAAAAGGTCAGAATAGCCAGGAGTTATTAGTCACTTGCGCTGCTGACCTGGGTAAATGCTACTAAGAGGTCTCAGCAGAAGGTGGACACGGAAGTCTAGTCATCCCAGGCCAGCTCTTAACTGGGTGATGATCTTTACTTTGTTCATTTTTTTCTAACCATTTCAGGAAATAGCAAAACATTCTATCACCAGTTAGATGGGATTTTGACTCTGGAGTCACCACTTACTGGTTGACTAGTGACTTCAGACAAATTGTATAACCTTTCTGTGCTTCAGTTTCCTCATGTGTGAAAGAGAATTGTAACCACTCACTTTACAGGATTGGTGTTAGGATGAAGTAGTGCATTCAAAGCCACAGAACAGGGCCTCCCTGGTGGCGCAAGGGGTTAAGACGCAGCCCTATGAAGCAATCTGCAGCCACTGCAATAAGAGTTTGAGCCCCAGCCAGGGCGCAAACCACATGGCGCAGCAGACCTCTCCTGTCTCCCCCACTGCTCCCCTCAGCAGTGTATTTCAGTCAAGCTGCCTGTTCTCCTCCCTACTCTGGTGAATCCTCTCAACCCGTCCACACACATACACCTCTGGCCTGTACCCCAGCTCTTGTATGCACAAAATCTTTTTTAAAAAGACACAGAACACTGCTCAGAACATAATAAATACGTAATAAACATAAGCTATTATTTTGTCTCCAGGAATCGGAGTTTACTGAAGGAGGAAGACCCTGCCATTCTTATCTCTGAGGTCCTCAGGAAGAAGTTTGCTTTGAAGGAAGAAGATATCAGTAGAAAAGGAAACTGACAACACTCAGCTCTGCAAACTCAAGTCTCATGCTCCTGGAATTCCTTCAATAGCTGCCTTCCTCACCGCAGATGTTTCTGCCTCTCTATTAGAAATCTTCTGCAACAGTCTTGCTGAAAACTAGAGCTTGGACTGAAAAAGATGAGCTGGATTAAGTTTCCCACACGTGAGACTTTAACAGAAGCTAAGGCCTGTTTTGAGTTGAGACATTTGTTACAGATAAATGTGTTGGTTGGAATGTTTCATTCTAAAGGGTGAGATAGAAATTTCTGGTTTTTTCCTTATCCCTGTGTGAAAATAGGTCCTAAATGAATGACTTACTTCACTGCATTATATCCCGTAACTGGTCTCACCGGACACTTTGTGCTCAGCTATCACTCTCAGTGGCTTCCTTGCAGCAGGGCTGAGGGGAAGGGGCTATAACTGTTTTATGTACTTGTTCATAGGGCAGGGGAAATCTTACGCTGCTCCATCATAAGTTGACACCAATACCCAGCAATCACCCTCTTCCCCATCGACACCTAGGTGTAGAGGTCAGGCCACTGGACCAGCCGACACTAGGGCTGCTGGGAGGCCTGGCTATTTTTTTCTTAAATGTATTTTGTAATACTGTACAACCAAATCTACCCTCCAAGGCCCTGGGGCCTTATCAGTTCCACTCATTGAAAAAACTTTCTCTTTCATGGACTTTAGCTTAAGCCCAGCAGGAAAGAGAAACAGGGAGGGAAAGAGCATACCATCCTCCGGCCCTTGACTGCTGCTTTGGTTTTGGGCCAAGGTTTGTACCGACCACACCATGCATGACTCAGATGCCCTCAGGTCCCTTTCTCTACAGTATGTATCCTGTGTGTGTGGGTTGAAGCACTACCTGACATTAAAGAAAGCATTTGGAGAGATATGCATCTGCTGTGTCCATCTCTGAGTTGTCATCACCCAGTATATTCCGCCCCCAGGTATAAGACTGCTGTTAATTTAAAGTATACTAACTTCTACAAACAAGCTCCTGGTTTCCCTTTTACAAGATCCTACCTTCAGAAGTGAAAACTTACCTAGGGAGCCTCTTGTCCATTTATGTAAAGATTTTGCCCTATGCTCTTAAAGCAGCTCCATCTTGTAACTTGAAAGCTTGTGTAATTACAGCCTCTTCCATACCACACCTGCACATGGGAAACTGCCACCTAGTGGTAGCCTATCAGGTAGAACAGGTCAAATTAGATTCATTTTCAGATTGGGTCCAAGACAATGATAAAGCATAGACTATTAAAATGCTTTTTCAAAAATAAAATTGGTAATGTTTTAATTACCATCAGAGCCAGCTTTGTAAACAGTCATTTATTTGGAGTCAGTTTGACAAAGGGAGTTCTCTCCAGCCTTGTAGAAGAGTGATCTATCTAGTCACACCTGGAGTGTCCATAGTTTTAGAGATATTTAAACAGTATGACTTTAAAATAAAATCACCACCAAACCTCCCATCATCCTAACCTACCTCTCTGTGCTCTCTGCCCCCATATATCTGGGCCCAGGAGATTTGCTGCCTCACCCACAGCCACCAGGAGTGAAGCCCCCAGTTTAGGTTGTGGGACTAAGATTCCAGCGTGAGATTAAAAACACATCCTTAAGAAACAATGCCCCAGTCTTTTTTTTTTTGCCCAATCTAAAGGGCAAAGAGGTGGCTCTGTGGAAACCGAGTAGTGGGCTCATTAGTGGAGAGGTAAGTACCTGTCCTGCCTCATTGCTCACCACCTACTTTGTTTCCGTGAAGAAAACACTCAACAATGACAGCTTCATCCCGTGCCTCCCTCACCCACACTCTCCTACCCCAAGATACTTTCTTACGTCTGTCATTCCAAGGTGCTTTTAGAATCAAACCTTCATAAATACATTCCAACTTAGTGCCTAATGACTGGATTACCTTCAGAATCCTGGGTAAAGAGCAAATCAGGATGCAGATTTAACTGAGTGGACATATCCTGGCGTTGAGCCTGAAGTTTGTTAGGAAACTGTCCAAGGCCCTGATTCTGGATGTTAGTTACATCTTGGAAAGGAGCTCTAGAATTGTGAGCAATGACCCGCTGGCCCTGAGAATCCTCGGTGAAAAGCTGGCTCCAGCAGTCCTTACTGGTTTCACTGTCCCAGGTAAACACAGGGATGGAAGAAGGGCTTTGTTTCACCGAGTCTGTGTTTTTTCCACTCCAGGAATCCCTGTATGTTGGAAGAACAGGGGCCTGTCTGTTTTCTTTGATTGACACGTTTTCCAATTTAGTCCTGTCCAGAAGTTGATAGTCCTTGCACCCAAGAGGTTTAATATGTCTCTCCACACCCTGACAGTTCTTATTCTCATATCCATGAAGCCATTCCCTTTTCTGAGAAGAATGCTCTCCCTCATTTTGGTCCAGAGTACAAGAACTTTCCAAATCTTGGGTGATGGAACTAGCCAGTGAATCTTTACTTTCCCCAGCACAGACTGAGGTGTCAGACTGTAACAAAGACAGCACAGTCAAAAATGGGGTTCCCATTCTGTGGTGACCAGAAGCCTGGAGGGACTGAAGAGAAAGCCCAGCTTCCTGGATGTCTGCAGGGGTTGAAGTGGCTAAAGGGGGCGCCATGCAATCATCCCCTGTGCCCTTGATTGGATGAATTAGCGGATTTACAGCTTTCGAGCCTTCGTTGGTCTGACTCTCTATAAGAGATGAAATAGTCCTCTTGTCACCACCATTTGTTTTTCCTAGTAAAATAGACATAAACAAGTTATATTGTGCAGGACGACTGCCCTGAGCAGGATTTAGTTGGCTCTGAATTCAGTATCAGTACTATCACTACCTCCTGCAGGGGTCTCGGACTCTACACTCAGCTTATAGTTGATCTTTCCTGCTTTCAAGTTCTGTTTTTTCCTGAATGACCTTTCTAAAACACAGATCTTATATTCCCTCCTCAAATATATGTACACTTTCTGTGACGTACCTAATAAAATCAAACGTGGTGTGCGATCAGACTGAGATCTATTTTCCCAGCTGAATTTTCTTATGTGGGGTTTGTTTTAATAAAGGGCACATAAGTTTTGCTTTTGTTGTTTGTTTATTATGGTTTCTGCTAAACAATGACCCTGGCCAAATAGATACTCCTGAACATTACCTTTGAGAAACATGCTCAAAACAGTATTTCTGTAAGATCTCAAAGATGACATTAGCCACTCAACTCCAAGAAATCTTCTGGTAACAGTGTTAAGTTCCTACTCCCCAAACATTTCATGGGAAAAGGAGTAATGTCAGTCAGGATGCTATTATCCGACAATAACAGCAATAATAATTGTAATTTTTTTTAATTACTAGTGTTAGCCTGTTCATTTTATCAGGCATGAAATGGGTCCTGTTCTGCCTGAAGGGCAAACGACATGGAACTCCCACTCCCCTCTCTGTTACCACAAGCACCAATTATAAAGCTGAATGATTTCCTCTTTCCTTCTCCAACAAGAATTACATGACAGAATTGTTTTGTAAGAGTTCTCAACTTTGGATTCAAAGATAACAGCATATCCAGAATTTCTAAATAAAAGATGTGTCCATGTTCCCACAAGCAAAAGTCTTAAGTTTGTGTTTGGGGTGGGGTGGGTGCATTCTGAAGGTTTAAGCAAAGCAATCCTGGATATTGCACCAAGAGTTAAGAACTCTCCTGTCAGCACCCTCTAAGTAGCAGGAACGCTGCTCTGAGCAGGCAAGCCAAGAATTGCCAAAGTATGAGACACAAGCCAACTTTATGGCAACCTTTCAAGAATAAAGCATCTTTGAATCTTGATTAATCTGAGAAGTGTCATGGAGAAATATCAATTGTCAATCTTCAAACACGTTCTATGAAGCCAACATTACACTAATACCAAAACCGAACAAGGACAACACAAAAAAAGAAAACTATAGGCCAATCTCCCTAATGAACACTGATGCAAAAATCCTCAATAAAATTTTAGCTATCAGAATCCAACAGTGTATCCATAAGGTAATTCACCACGACCAAGTAGGATTCATTCCAGGGACACAAGGATGGTTTAACATCCGAAAATCAATCAACGTTATCCAACACATCAACAAAAAGAAATATAAAAACCATATGATAATATCAATAGATGCTGAGAAAGCTTTCGACAAAGTGCAACACCCATTCATGATAAAAGCCCTTGAAATTCTTGGGATACAAGGAACGTACCTCAACATCATAAAGGCCGTATATGACAAGCCAACAGCCAGCATCATTCTCAATGGTGAAAAGCTGAAAGCAATTCCATTAAGATCTGGAACAAGACAAGGATGTCCACTTTCACCACTGCTTTTCAATATAATACTGGAAGTCCTAGCCAGAGCAATAAGACAAGAGAAAGACATCCAAGGAATCCAAATAGGAAAAGAAGTCAAACTATCACTCTTTGCAGATGATATGATAATATACATAGAGAACCCCAAAAACTCCACAGAAAAACTAATTCAACTCATCAATCAGTTCAGTAAAGTGGCAGGATACAAAATCAACACGCAAAAGTCAGTAGCCTTCCTATATACAAACAATAAATCTGAAGAAGAAGAAATCAAAAAAAACCATCCCTTTTATTATTGAAACAAAAAAAATCAAATATTTGGGAATAAATCTAACAAAAGAGGTAAAGGACCTATACAAAGAAAACTATAAAACACTGTTAAAAGAAATAGAAGAAGACACAAAGAAATGGAAAGACATCCCCTGCTCATGGATTGGGAGAATAAACATTATTAAAATGGCCATCCTACCAAAAGCAATATACAGATTCAATGCTATTCCAATCAAAATTTCAATGTCATTCTTCAAAGAAATAGAACAATTATTGATGAAATTCATATGGAATCACAAAAAACCCCAAATAGCCAAAGCTCTCCTGAAAAAAAAAGAAGGGAATGGAGGCATCACACTCCCAGACTTCAAACTCTACTACAAAGCCATAATCATCAAAACTGCATGGTATTGGCACAAGAACAGACATACAGACCAATGGAATCGAATAGAAAATCCAGAAATAAACCCACAGATTTATGGTCAACTAATCTTTGACAAAGGAGCAAAGACTATGCATTGGAGCAAAGAAAGTTTGTTCAATAAATGGTGCTGGGAAAACTGGGTCGCTACATGCAAAAGAATGAAGCTTGACCACTACCTCACACCATACACAAAAATCAACTCAAAATGGATTAAAGAACTAGACATAAGACCTGAAACCATAAAATACATAGAAGGAAATATAGGCGAAACACTACGTGATTTGCATATCAAAGACATCTTTACAGACACATCACCCAAAGCAGTGATAGTGAAGGCAAAGATCAACAGCTGGGACTACATCAAATTAAAGAGCTTCTGCACAGCAAAAGAGACAATAACAAAAACAAAGAGAAACCCCACCAACTGGGAGAACATTTTTGCACCCAACACTAATGATAAAGGACTGATCACAAAAATCTGCAAAGAGCTGATGAGACTCAACAACAACAAAGAAAATAATCCAGTCAAAAAATGGACAGAGGAACTAAAAAGAAACTTCTCTGAAGAGGAAATGCGAGTGGCCAACAGGCATATGAAAAAATGTTCAACATCACTTGCAATCAGGGAAATGCAAATCAAAACTACCATGAGATACCATCTTACACCAGTGAGAATGGCACATATTAAAAAAACTAGCAACAACAAATGTTGGCGAGGTTGTGGAGAAAAAGGAACTCTCCTGCACTGTTGGTGGGAGTGCAAACTGGTCCAACCACTATGGAGAGCTGTGTGGAGATTTCTGGACCTACTAAACATAGAGCTTCCACAGGATCCAGCAATTCCACTCCTAGGTATTTACCCAAAGAACACAGAAACATCAATTCCAAAGAACACCTGCACCCCTATGTTTATAGCAGCACTGTTTACAATAGCTAAGCTTTGGAAACAGCCCAAATGCCCAAAAATAGATGACTGGATCAAGAAGATGTGGTACATATATACCATGGAATATTACTCAGCATTCAAAAAAGATAAACACATGCAATTTGCAGCAACATGGATGACGCTGGAAGGGATCATGCTCAGTGAAATAAGCCAAAAAGAAAAAGAAAAATACCGGATGGTCTCACTCATAGCAGGGATCTAGAAAACTTAAATAAGGGACCAGGAAAATGAATAACTATAAGAAAGTGAAAATCAAAATCAACAAAAACTATGAACCAGAGACACTTTTTGGGGGTGGGGGGGCGGGAGGGGAGGGATTGGGGTCAGAATGGGGGGATTGCAATTGTATGGGGAATATAAAAATAAAATTTATTAATTAAAAAAAAAATAAAGTAAACCCATTTGGACAATAAAAAAAAAAAAAAATTGTCAATCTTCATAGACTAGTCACTATAGCCAGGCCAAGACATATACCTAATTAATGGCAGGTCGGCTTCCCTACGCATCTCAATTTCCCAAGAATACCTTTCTCACTGCTCAGGGAATACAGATAATATTAGACTGAGCAAAACAGACTGAGAAAATTATTGTAAAAGAGCACACACACACACACACACACACACACACACACACCCTTGTCAAAAGGAATGATTTCTTGGGGCCCCGCTGGTGGTGCATGCAGTTAAGCAGCAGCACTATGAAGCTATCCACAGCCACCGCAGCAAGGCTTCAATTCCCCAGCCAGCCAGAGAGGTGACCCACATGGCGCAGCAGACCTCTCCTGATTCGCCCGCTGCTCCCCTCAGCAGTGTACTTCGGTGGATCTGCCTGTTCTGTTCCCCAATCTATCTCTGGTGAATCCTCTTACTCCCCAAACCTCTGGCCTGTACCCCAGTTCCTGTATGGATAAACAAACCTTTAAAAAGGGGGGGAATGACTACTTGTATAATCTCTTCTAATAAGATAGCTAAGTTTAACACAACATACTAGTGTCACTTCTCATGTTCCACATTGAAAAAAAGGGCACTCCTTTTCGCTCCACAGAAGCTCCCAGAATGGTCACCATACCTGACTGCAAGGTGAAGAAGGAAGTAATGTTGGTCTGCCGAATGCCTGCAGATGGAGTTGTTCTTTGAGTAAAAGGAATCTTAGACTTTCTCTCTCCAGGAAACAGTGTTAGCATTTTGGTGCTTGGCTTGATTAAATGTGTCTGAGAGTGGGAGAGAAAAAGAATTAACAGAATCTCTTACTATCCAAACAGCTGCCAAACAGGAGCAATTCAATAAACACCAGTGACCCTCTCGGAGCCGCACTGGATCCTTTGGATTCCACACATACCCTGTTCTCTAGGGAGTGTGCTGTACACCATCTTTCACCATCTCCTTCCATAACAATGGCGCTTGTTTTTCTCAGGCATCATGTATTCCAACTATAGCCCAATCTTTCTGCTGCCAGTGGAACACAGTAAGACTGGCTAAACTACCAGGATTGTTGAGGAGCTTCAGGGATGGTGTTCCCGCACTCATACTGAAAGATAATGATTCTACACTAGCAGCAGTTGATATATTTTCAATAGTTTTCAAATAGCCATGTAGTGGTTAAGAGTAAGGCTCCAGCAGCACAGTCACACAACCTGATTCAAGCCCATCACAATTCTGCCACTGCCACGTATGTTTTAGCTGTGTGACCCTCTGCAAGGTGCTTGATCTGTGTCTCTTTCTCACATAGGGGACATTAACAGTATCCCATAGGGCATCTGCTGAAGATTTGGTGAGTTAATTCACATAAAAGGTTTGTTCAGTTCCTGGCACATGGACAGCATCAGTAACAGCTGGCTATTATTAAGAGAAGGAGCGATGAAATAGAACCAGTCTCACCACACTTTCCTTTCAGATCCTGTATACTTCAGACTGCGAACTGAAGACAGAGAAGTGTGAAAGAGTCAGAGAAGTGTGGAAAGTGATTTTCGTCAACTAACTATAAATATAACCTCCTCCTTATTTAATGTGAATTGTTTTTATTTCCATTTGCTTGACTGGAATGCCTGAGAAGTAGGGAGAATAGGGTCACATTCAGTTCAATTTGGCTGTGAAAGCCAAAGAAATGAGATTTGCCAATATTCATGCTGTAAGTTGGATATAGGCCTGACACTGAATCCTGATTACCAATTCTGGCCTAAATATGTGACTTCATTTTTACATTTAAAAGCTAAAATGTACTTTTAAATGGTTAAAAGAAAGAAACTATCTTGAATTCATATCATGACATGTAGCATTGGTATAGATTTTTCCCTTCCGTCATACAAAACTAGAAAACTGGTTAAGATACGTAAGAACTGACTTCAGACAGTAGACAAAGGTATTGCTTGGACTTTGATCCCTGAGAATAGGAAAACAAATGTGGTGACCAGCTGTCAGACCACATTGTATGGAGAGCATGCAGGGAGATCACTGCATTCTTGGTGACTGAGCAGAGGAAGAATAGAATTTGGGGAAGCTGGGGTGGGTGGGAGTTACAGCACAGAGAACTACATCCAGAAATCTACATAGGGTTTCCTGCAGGGTATTAGCGAATACTGGGCTACATATGTGTTAGGAGACACCAGGTGAAATCAGAAAAAGAAATCCCAGGAACTGTAAACAATTTCCAGAGCTCATACAAGAGAGACCTCTCAAATACCAACAGCATTCAGCAGAGTTCTCAGGCAGATCACTCCTGAGCAGTAGCACTAAATCAGCTCTAGAGGGAAAGTTATTCCAAACCTGTCCTAACAAAGTTTAAAAGGAAGCACAGAAAGCAGCAAGCTGATTAGCAAGTAACTACATGCCAAAGCAAATTTCAATATTTTTTAAAGTTAAGAAAAAAATCCTAATACCCAACAATGTAGCACACATTCTGTTTTGTATGCTGTGAAAAATGACTATGTGAAGAAAGCAAGTAAACAGTCATAATTGGGGGGCGGGGGCTGTCAGTTAATAGAACAGACCCAGAAGTGTCAGGGAGGGCATAAATAGGCAAAACTGTAAAACTGTTACCATAAATATGCTCAAGGGATTAAAGGAAAATAATGACAGAAATGTGAGGTATGAAAAAATTCACTGGATGAACTTAATGTAAGATTAGACCCAGAAAAAATATAAAGCCATAAACCTGAAGACAGAGCAACATAAACTATCCAAAATGATTTGTGGGATATCAAGTATACATATAATCACAATTCCAAAAAATAATGTGGAAGAGGACACAAATTATATTTGAAGAAATAATGACCAAAATTTTTCCAAATTTGATGAAAACTACAAACTAAGTCCTTTTTAAAAATGGTCAGTACAAGGTCTACCATTTCACATCTTACAGTGTGACAATACCACTCCCCTCCCACTGCCTCCCATCAAGTGATGAGGTCTCTATTCCCTCTCCTTGAACTTGGGACGTGCACTGTGACTGCCTGATCATAAAGTACGAGGGAAATAATACTACATGATTTCCAAAGCTAGGCCATAAAAATGCCATGCACTTCTGCTCTCCGGTACTGCTAGTTGGTCACCATTGCTAAGAAGCTGTGGGGTTAGGATGGCCACAGTGCAGGTTTTCTGTGATCTGAGCAGACCAGGTAAAGGAGAGTTCTGGAGCCCTCGGTGGCTTTCTCAGGCTTTTATCGCGCTCTTACAGATAGTGCAGAGCAACCAGGTACAGGGCAGGTGGGGCGGAGGGGACACGCAGGCAAGTGTTTACTCTGCTTTCTCTGGCATTCTTTCTCCCCTCTCTCTCCTGTCTCTGCTTCCCTTGGCAAATATCTCAATACTGAGCCATGGCCCACAGAAATAAAAACACAACTTATAACAATGTAACAAATGCAAGTGCCCCATCAGGCAGGGCAATCCTAGGCTGAGGGCAGAAAAGCCTGAAAATCACTTACCCTACAAAGCCAAGCAGGAACATGGCTCTCTAAATTTTACAGGAGACACATCCTAGATATGTCATATAATGTGAGCTGGTGTGTCCTGGAGGCAACTTCCAACAGGGATGCGGGTGCTAAGGCTTCCTCACATCAACAAGCAATTCTCAGGCTCTAAAAATTCAACTCAATTCTCACACTACTATCAGATTGCACAGGTTAAGGATTCAGTCTGACATGGCCCTCCACTTCAGAGAGGTCACAACTCCCAGGAAGTCCATGCTGATGACCAACCAGCAATAGATCAAAGGCCGCCTCCACTCCCTCCTCAGACTTCAGATGTTTGTACAAGCCCCAGGTTACCATCTGTGCTTCTGACAGACTGGCTAGAAAGACACTCAGAACTCAGGAAATCCATTTACTCACTAGATCACAATTTTTTTTTTTTAACAAAGAATACAAATTAACAGCAGGATGGAAGAAATGCATAGAGGAAGGGGTAGGGGGGAGGTGAAGCGAGTCTGTGCCCTTTCCAGGTATGCCAATCTCCCCATATTGCCATGTGTTCAACAGGGTATCTCTCCAAAGTCCCTGCCTCTTGGGCTCTGACCACTGGCAGCTGAACTCCACCTCTTATCCTTTCCCATTCCAGGAACCAGAAGTGAGAATAACAGTCCCCTACTCTATTCCTATTGGTTTCCCTGGTAACCACCAAAAGTTACCTTCACTATCATAACAAAACAAACCTTTATCACTCACAAAGCTTAGGAAACACCAAAGAGAGCTGTGAGCCAAGAACTGTGGATGAAGACCAAACATGTGAGAAATATATTCTGGTCTTCTCGCTGATGACATGTATGTGTATGTTATCATTTCCTATAAATCAAATATGACAGTAGATGTGCTAACAATATTTGAGCAACTATATGCTAGCTAACTAAGAAATACAGTGATAAATAAAATAACTGTGTCTGCCCCGGTAAAGCTTACAGCTAAAGGAAAAAAAAAAAAAAAAGAAAATTAATAAATAGCATTTAAATAAACACCATTATGCTAAAGTCCTATAAAGGTTTATTGGAAACTACAGATTATTAGTAAGACTTTTATTAGCAAACATCTGGGAATAAAGATGAGGTATAGAATGAGGGCTAAGCATCCCAAAGGTCGGAGCTATGTCAAGAATGCTATTGTCCTGGGGCCTCCCCGGTGGCGCAGCGGTTGAGCGCTGGGTTGCGAAGCTGCCCGCAGCCTCTGCAGCGCTGCTTCGATCCCCGGCTGCTCCCCGGCCACCAGAGGAGGGTCCCGCATGGCGCGCAGACCTCTCCTGCCGCCCGCTGCTCCCCTCAGCAGTGTACTTCGGTCCTTCTGCCTGCTCTGCTCCCTGCTCTGGCTCTGGTGAATTCTCTCACCCTCCCGTGCTTCTGACTCTACCCAGTGCTTCTATAAATAAATAAATAAATAAATCTAAAAAAAAAAAAAAAAAAAAAAAAAATGCTATTGTCCTAATTACAGCTAGCTCTCTTAGAAGAACCATGCTTCAAAATGAGTGTTCATCTCAGTGGAATGCAAAGACTCTACGTGAGAACAGGTCATCATACAAAGTCCTCTAGGTGATTACCGCTACCTCAAAATAAAAGCAGTTTCTGTGAGTACATTACACAGTGTAAGAAAGCTTGTTGAGTAGGCATAGGGTTCCTACAGGACAAACTCCTTTGTAAGCCACATAGCATAGGTATTAACAATCCTTACCCTGAAATAATATCCCAAAGAATCTAACTTCAAGAACCTTAAAACGACTTTTTTTTTTTAAAGATTTATTTATTGGGCCTCCCTGGTGGCGCAGCGGTTGAGCACTGGGTTGCGAAGCTGCCCGCAGCTGGTTCGAGCCCCGGCTGCTCCCCGGCCACCAGGCGAGGGTCCCACATGATGTGCAGACCTCTCCTGCCGCCCGCTGCTCCCCTCAGCAGTGTACTTCGGTCCTTCTGCTTGCTCTGCTCCCCGCTCTGGCTCTGGTGAATTCTCTCACCCTCCCGCGCTTAAAAAAAAAAGATTTATTTATTTATACAAGCACTGGGTACAGTCAGAAGCGCGGGAGGGTGAGAGAATTCACCAGAGCCAGAGCGGGGAGCAGAGCAGGCAGAAGGACCGAAGTACATTGCTGAGGGGAGCAGCGGGCGGCAGGAGAGGTCTGCGCGCCATGTGGGACCCTCCTCTGGTGGCCGGGGAGCAGCTGGGGATCGAAGCAGCGCTGCAGAGGCTGCGGGCAGCTTCGCAACCCAGCGCTCAACCATAGTGCCACTGGGGAGGTCTGA